CCTGTGAGCCAGCCCCAATTAAATGTTGTCCTTTATCAGAGTTACCTTGGTTATGGTATCTCTTCACGGCAGTAAAACCTTAAGATACTAGGCTAGTTTGGCAATAATATCAAGAAACAAGAGATCAGAGACTGGCTGCGAAGACAATCGTATGCCAAAGGCAAAGTGAGACAGTTCAGGGCTCAATTTATTAAAAACAAACAAACAAACTGGATGTGACTCCAGAAGATGGATGAGTAGGGCTGAAACGAGAGTGAACAAGGCCAGGGTAGGGTCTGCATTCCAGCATTCATGGGGGACACAGACACTCGTGGAAGACATACAGAACTTGGAACACAGTGTTGTGGGGTGGGGGACCTTTACTTCTCTCAGACTCTGTTTCCAGATGTTGATGTGGTCGGTCTCATACACTGGACTACAGTGATCTATCAGTCACTGAACAGGGGTCTCCAAGAAACCCTTATAAATGAAAAATTATAGTCCATACCCAGTTCACTTTAGCTGTGTCTGATTTCCCATCCTGGAGTTCTTTTTAAAGCCCAGGCTAACTTTGAACTCTGTAATTGATGATCTTGCACCTCCTACCTCTACTACTTTTTTTTTTTTTTTTCGAGACAAGGTTTCTCTGTGTGGCCCTGGCTGTCCTGGAACTCACTCTGTAGACCAGGCTGGCCTCAAACTCAGAAATCCGCTTGCCTCTGCCTCCTCCCAAGTGCTGGGATTACAGGCGTGCGCCACCACTGCCTGGCCTACCTCTACTTCTGAGTGCTGAGGTTACAGGTGTGCACCATTAAAACCTAGTCATGAAGTTCTATTAAAACTCAGAACCTAATTCCAGAATGTCTTTACATTTAAATACAAGGGTTTAGGGTAAGTGACACTGAGAGCAAGGGTGTGTGCTTATCAAGTCTCACCTTATTCTCCGTTCTTCTGAGACAGTGGCTCCTGCTGCTCAGGGCTTTATACACAGCTCCTGCACACATAGCAACCAAGTTATACTCCCAGCCCTGCCCCCCTTTAAAGTTAATTTTCCTTTTAAAGTTAAGCTAAATTTCATTTATTAAAGTCAAGCTTCCTGAAAGACTATCACAGGGTTTTGTGGAACCCCAAGAAAATTCCAAATAGGAAGCTAAGGACATTCTCCAAATGCATCCTGATGGACGTCCAAGGGAATAGCAGACTTTTGAAACCTACTTCTGAGCCTCTAAAGCTTGAAGTCTTGGCTTTATTTTCTGAATTTGTATTCAGAGTTCTAACAAAGGCCACAGGCACGTCCAATCTGTAGGTGTTGAATGCCTCCACACTGCCACGGCCCCAAGAGAGGTCTTACTCAGGGAAAGCTGGATCCTTGACTGCACAGCAGGAAAGAAAGCATGAGTCAGAGGAGCAAAGTTAGTTTATTCCGTATTTAGACAGCTGGGACAGGGTAGTCTGTACCCCTTTGGACTTGAGATGGGCTTCGGAAAACTGATAGAGCATTTGTCTGACTACGTATGAGCCTGTGGCTGCTGCAGCACCCAGATGACATCATTCCTAACAATGTGTCATGATCAAGATAAAAATTTAAGAAAATGAGCTACTTTACTGATTGTTCTTGAAGAACTGCCTTCTGTAAATGAGACTATAAAGTGTATTGGGGGGTGTCTCAGGGCTGAGAGGAGAGCGCACTCGAGGTTGCAAACATTCCAGCCAAACAGGCTCGGTTCATTGTGTCTTCAACATGTCATCCAAGACGTCTTTGTGAAAACCCATCTGTGAAGGCAGTTTTGGCTCCCTTACATAGTACTGGAATTTCCTGACTCTGTAGGAAGGTAAAGCAGGTCCCAGGGAAGGGACAGCTCCCTCACCAGGGGATTTAGTGTCCTTGTCCTTTAGGTATGCAAAGTAACTAATATGAAAGGTTTTAAGGTAACACAAAAATCTGAATAGAATAAAAAGAAGCCAGTCGGATCTCTCCCTTTTCAACTAAAAACGGCTAATAAGATTTGAGACAGTAACAGCTGTCTTGATGGCTTAACACAATGTGTCCTTGTTACACTGTGGAGTGAGTGGCTCAGAAGGGCTTTGACGGTGACCCTTTCAGTGACTTCTGTGGAGATTTATATCAGCAGATACAGATTTGCATCCCCTCCTTTCTGGCTTCCTTCAGTGACAGCACTCATGGGAACTGAGCCAGTTTTCACTGTTTGGTTAGGGTTTGTTTGTTTGTTTTGCTTAAAAGTAAAAACATTGTGGATGTAGGGGGTCTCTGCAAATACCATGGCCAGCAGCGTGTGTCGGTCCAGGGAAAGGAAAAAGGAAATCCAACTCACCAAGACTCCGTAGCCAGTGTTAGTTCCAGGGTCTGACACCAGAGAGTTTAGGCGTATTTAAGGATGGTAAAATTTGGAAACGTTTCCTGGTGATAATGAACCCAATCCCATGTGCCCAACAAAGTTTAAGACATGTCTGCATCCAACTCTTGTAAAGTATGCGTGATATCTCCCATAAAGGTGGGGTCTACAGATCAGTAAGGAAGCAGGCTCAGTCTAAACAACGCTTGTAAGGAGTTGGGATGGACAGGGCCGTAGATGGACTGTAATAAACAGGCTCAAGATAAGGGCATGGGAGAGCCGGGTGTGGCCTGGCCATGCACACAGCGTGGAGGTTATTAACTACCTCCAGTCCCAAGGCTCGTGGAGATGGGTGTGTGCACATAAGAGTGTAACGCACAGAAGCCAGGAGGCGGCAGATCTCATGAAGCGGAATTTCGAGTAACTGTATGCACACACCCAGACACCTGACAAAAAGCAATTTAAAGATAAGGTTTATTTTGGCTTACATCTGGAAGGCATGTAGCCCCAGCACAGCAGGCAAGCATGGAAGCAGGAACCTGAGGCCGTGGTCACGCTGTATCCTGTTAGGAAGCAGAGTGGCCAGGAAATGCTGGCAGGCTCTAAAAGCCCAAGCCCCACAGAAGGGATCCACTTCCTCCTGAAGCCCCACACCCTTCCCCCATGCTACCATCAGCTGGGGACCAAGTACTCGAAACCAGAGTCTATAAAGGTTATCCCTAAAAATCAATACTCGTAAGGCTTTCCATGGTCATGTGCTCAGCGTAATGGTAAAAGCCTTGAGCTGCTAAAGACACATTCTCCACTGAGATCAGGAATCAACACCCTATCCCACCTTCCCATTTCAGCTTCACGATGTAACCAAGTTTTCGTTTTTTATCATGGCAATGATTAGTGTTTTGGCCCCGAGCAGTGCTGAGTTCTATACAGTGTTTCTAAGCACAAGCAGTTTGAAGGGCTGTACATTTAAAAAAAAAATAAAAATTAGTGTCCCAGAGGTTTTGTTCAGGCCTGAGTTACAGGACCGCTGGCCACAAGTCCAATGTTAATACACACTGAATCAATATTAAGGATGAATAAAGCTCAAAAAAAAAAAAAAAAGCCCAAGCTTGGGTTTTCTCTAAAAGCAGTAATAAGGGACTTTCTAATGAGCTGATAGGTCTTGACTACCAAAACTATCTAGCAGCAATCAACTGAAGGTATTTCCTATAGCCATCGAACACATCACCGTGTGGTGAAGTTCCTCACGAAGTGCAAGGTTTTCATTTTCCTGCTTCATCCCAGGCTCACACAGTGCTTGGTACTTACTAGTAAAAGCTGTGGAGAGGAAACAAGGAGTAAAGGCTGAGCAAGCATGTCCATACAGAACCTCAACTGACCAGTGGACAGAGCACATGTCCCACCTTGTAGTAATCACACAAACGTAAGCAGAACCAGCCCAGGCTGCTTCCCCTGATGATGACCCCAAGCACTTACTACTTAGTGCTGGCAAAAACTAACAGCTGATCATGCCATCAGAATTGATTATCTTTTGACCTTAAAACACCAATCTTCATACAATCCCCCACCCAAATAAAACTTGGATCTGTGCAAAATTTGCCAAGGAGAGCTGTGGCAGCACAATTAACCATAGCAAAACTATCAAGATTATTTTGATTAGTGCAATAGTTATGGGCATAGTGTAATAGGTACAGTGGCTCCAATCCGTAACCACGGATTGGTGGTTACCAGTGGCTCAGATTGTAGGAGGAGGATCAGGGGAATCAGTAGTTCTAGGTCAGTTAGGGCTACGATGAGTTCAAGGCCAGCCTGGGCTCTCCATGAGACCCTACTTCAAAAAGCAAAGAAGTTTTTCCACACCTGGGGAGATGACGTGCAAGCTGGCTAGGTAGAACAGTCGGAGCCAGTGAGCAGCAAGGTCGGTGAAAGCGTGTCTCAATGAAGACAGTGGAGAGTGATGGAGAAAGACACAAAAGTCAGCTGGGGATACACACACACACACACACACACACACACACACACACACACACACACACACGAATGGTACCCACAGGTGTGTCCTGCCCTAACACAAAACATTCTCCTTAGAACATGCATTATTTCTATAATGGGGGGGGAGGGTGTTTAGGGGTAAATATGAGAGATAAATAATTAAATACAACGATCACTAGAAACACCTTTGTGAATAACCAGCTTCACATGGAGCCTGAGGCTGACTAGCCCAATACTTCTAACCCGTCTGTCACACTTCACCAGCTTTGTGTCACTTCTCTGTCAAGGCAGTGCCACTAGATTCACAGAAGGCCGAGACTTAAATACTAAAAGGTACTCTGTGTGTGTGTGTGTGTGTGTGTGTGTGTGTGTGTGTGTGTGTGTGTGTATACACATGCATGGTTTAGAGGCCAGGGCAGTTTTGGGTGTCCTCTTAAGTCCACTCCACCTCATTCCTTGAGACAGAGTCTCCAGTGTAACTGGAGCTGATCTGCTTGGTCTGGCCAGTCAGTACGCTCCTGGCACTCCACATCTGCCTGCTTACACTGGTTCTGGGAACTGAACTCAGTGATCGCACTTGCTGCGCATCCTTCAGCACCTGAGCCATCTCCCCAGACTCCACACACCAACGGCAGAACCATACCATGCTTCCACAATCACAAAATGACACTGACAAAAACTGGGCTGAGGACTTTAATTTGCGGTAGAGCCCATGTCTCACAGGCAGACTCCAGTAGCTCCCAGCTTCCCCGTGGCTAGAACACAAGGCTGTGTACTTCAAGCAACACTACCCACAAGACACAGCCTCCTAGCAGCAGTGGTCAGTATTACAGTAAAACACAGCATGCACTCAACAATTCTCAAACAGAGAGTCATCAAAATGAGGTATGTCTAGTGTGTCATCAGCTAAAGAATTCAATGCTGAAGTGGAAAAAAAATCATCAAGAATATCAGTCTTCATGGGACTTCCCAAGTTCAAGGTTCTAATACAGGCACTGTCTATGACTGAATGCAGATTAACTTCACATTGGTTTTTCTCAGGGCTACAGTAATTATGGTCCTGTTTCAGACATGTGTTCTGGGCAACAGCACTAAATTCACTAGGTGCTGGGATTGGGGTGCTGTCTCCCATTTCCAAGTACCTCAACTCAAGCTCCCCACTTTCTGAGGGCTCTGACAGGGCTGTAGGCGACAGCAACTCTGCTAAAATCTCCTCATGACTCTGGCTGTTACATGAGGTGCCATCAGGAGCAGAGGTGCACCCAGACTTGTTGTCTGCAAGGTCAATTTGATACTGTAGTTCTTTGAACAGGTCTTCTATGGACTCACAGTCATTTGGAGACCCACAATGGGATGCAGGCTCTGAATGGTCACTTACAGGTGTTCCACGGTGCGGGGAAGACATGAGGGCGGCTAGTTTCTTCTTTTTTGCCTTTAATTTTTTAAGAAGTTTGAGCCGAAGCTTATGAACCTGATCTTCAGCTGCATCCCCACAGCTTGCTGGAGATATGGCGCTTTCATCACTGAGGGATCTGTGGCTGAGGGGAGGTGGACGTGGGCCTTCCTGCTCCTTCACCAGGGCTGAGGCAGCGTTCCCAGGAGCCGTGCTGCCCAATGGTGGGGAGCTGCTCCCTGGAGATGGCTCCTCCACATGCTTAGCTTTCCTGGACATCCTTTTAGATCTGTGGTTTATACTTTTCGTTTTAAAGCCATCAAAATTATTGGCTCCTTTAACAGAGGGCTGCAGGTCAGTTACTGCTCTACTCTGAGCCAAAACACAGGGTGGCATAAATGCGCCACCCCTGCTCAACAGCCCCTTCACCCAACTTCCCACGAAGGTTTTCTTCTGGTCATCTTTCCGAGGCTGATTCTGTGCTGACCTGGCTGCTACTGTTTTAGAAGTTGCTGCACTTTCTCTTTTTCTCAAATTAGATGCCTGAGATTTACCAGGTTGTTCTGGGTTTAAGTTCTCAGTTTTCCGTGGCAGCAACTGTATCTGAGAGTCCGTCTCAGTTGCCATGGACTTCAATTCCTGAACAAGAACAGCAACAGGGGCATCAGTCACAGGTTTAGGAATCACAGTGTCCCCTGTCTGAGACGGTGCTGCCTGCAGGTCTGCGCTCACAGCTTGGGATGGGAAACTTGAATCCACACATGGGGCAACTAGCTTTCCTTCACACAGGTTAGACAACAAGGAAGACCCCAGGGAGTCCTGGGGCTGAAAAGCAAGTACTCTGACAAGTCCTGCACTTCCTGCCACGGGTTTGTCTTCCAACAGGCAATCTTTGGAGTCAATCTGAGAAACAGAGGCAGTTTCCTGGATGGTCTCTTCAAGTGCTGAGGGTAAAATGCTGTTGACCAAGCCTTTTGTTCCTGAAAGAACACTACCTCCATGAGCTACACCTTGGATTTCTGGAGGAGTCTGAGGAGTGCCTGCCATCGGTGTGGGATGAGCAACTGAGGGTTCTGAGGTGGTGGTCCCAGCCAGAGAACACAGGGCTGGGCAAGTTGGCAACTCCTCACCTGACACAGGCTGCACATGCGGCTTCATGCATGGAAGGCAGGCATCTTCTTCAACTGGCACCTGGGATTTTCTTTCCCAAATAACGATATGTGTCTCTGATGCTGGCACTTCACAGGTCACATGCCTTTTAGCACATGGACCCTTTAGGTCATCACACTCCAGCCAACTCCCTGGGAAACAAGAAACACAGCTACAGGTTAGACCTTCCTGACACCATTCTTCCTTCCCAGTTGCTGTGTCACTCAGCACCACGAAGGGAGCACTGGCAATCTGTCCTCGGTCACATGCTTTTCCTTCTGATCACAACAGTTGTGATCTGCTGGCTAGTTTATATTCTTTATTAAATACACATCGACTCACAACAGAATCTGTGTAATTTCAATTCAGAAGAGGAGGATTCAATGTGTATGGCGAAGGAAGAGTCTACAGATCACACAAGGCAACTCTGTGGGAGCAGCCTCAGGCTGTCATCCGGCAGCATGGGCACTTGGCAGTCCTTTCTGTTTGCATAGTTTCAAGGATGTGCTAGGTGTACAGTGTAAGGGTCATAGAAAGTGGACTACAGCACAGAGCATGAGGAGAAAGGAAGTAGATTAAACTATTCCTTAAAAGAAGAAAAGGAGATACCTTAGAAAGATAGCTTAAGGAGGAGACGGAGGAGGGGAAGAAGAAGAAGGAGAAGAAGAAAGGGACATCTTACAGGATAGCTTTAAGAAAAAAGGAAATAACGGATTCTGGAAGGGGGTGAAAAAACTGGAATCCCATGTATTGCTGGTGGAAATATAAAATGGCTCAGAAATAATCTAGTCATGCGAGAGCAAATGACTCTACTCTGAGTACACACTCACAAAAGCAACTGCCCATCAGTGTCCCAACAGATCAATGGGGGTCATTACTCAAGAGTGAGAAAGGAAGGAAGCTTGGCACACAAAACCTTGAAAATGTGCTAAATGAAATAAGTAGAACACAAAAAGGCAAAGCCCTGGTTCCACCCGCATGAGGGGCCGAGAGATACAAGGTAGGACAGTGGCTCCAACAGCCTGGGAGGGGACCTGATGTCTACTGAGCACAGTTTAGTTTGTTTTGAGGAATGAGAGCTCTGGATACAGATGCTGGTGATGGATTTATGGACTATAAATGTAGTGGATGGCAATAAACTATAAGCTTAACATGTTGAAATGGAGGAATTATACTATGTCCATTTTGATACAATAAAAAAAAATTAAGCAAACAAAAATCACGTTGGAAAGAAAATGGCCTGATGCTGAAAGACAGCAGGGGTTAGAGGAAGGTGGAATCTTATATTTACTTACATTTTATTTATGCCACAGGAGAATTTGAGAAAAGATCATTACTACAAGTCTAGATAAATAATAGCTTCTCAATAATTAACATGGGAATTGTGGCAAAACAGACAGACAGCTCTATCTATGGTGTCTGATGTGCTGAACTGAGGAAGCATGGTGCCAAGTATTACCATGCCCACTACATAAACACTTTCTGTCCCCATTTTAGACATCATGGTTACAGCAAGCAGTGGAGATATCACAACCCACAGCACTGTCTCACAGTACTACAGTATTCTGAGAATCAGGGAGAATCAGGGAGGTTAGGGAAGGAGAAAGTCCATTCTGCAGCTGGACTTCAGATCACTTTAGATGCTATGTACCTACTAGTCAAGTTCTAAGGTATCACATTAGTGACTAAGGACAAATAGAGGTCTAAGGTCCAACAGATTTTAATCCCTTAAAGACAAAAAATTAAAACAAGATTACAATACTACTAGTGAAGTGGACCATGACCAGCAAGGGGTGGAAAGAGAGGTGAGTGTTGGGGTCATGGGTAGGGATAAACACAGTCAAAGTACATTATATACAGGCAAAAATGTCACAAAGAAAACCAGTTCTGCACAATTAATATAGCGCAGGCACACATGTACAAAGAGACACACATTTATTAGAACAGCCAAAGTCTCTACTACCACCAAGTATCAGCAATAATGGGGACAAGAGCAATTGTTTGTCACAAAACTAAAATTCTGCCATTTGACCTAGCAACCAAACTCCTTGGTATTCATAACAAATGGGCTGCAAAGTTTATATGTAAATCAGAGCATTGTTCCTCATATCTGCCTAAACAGGGAAACAATCTAGATGGTTTTTCTTTGTTTTGTGTGTGTGTTTAGGAGAGTACAGACCAGAAGACAACCTTAAGTTGCATTTCTTAGCATTTTGAAGAAAGGGTTTCTCATTTGCCAAATATGACGGGCTAGACAGCCAGCAAGCTGAAGGGATTTCTGGGATTTCAACTGTGCACCATGTCCAACTTTTTGTATGTAGGCTTTGGGAAGAAATTAGGTACTCCTGTGGCACAGCAGACAACTGGCCATTTCCCCAGCCCCCAGGCATCTTCTCCTTAGGTGGTAAATGTACATAAAGTAAACATCCACATTCAGAGACAATGGAATGTCATTTGGAAAACGCAGTGCTATGCTTTGAAAAGATGTGGAAGTATACTAAGTTCACATTCCTAAGCAAAAGCAGTGCATACGAAAAGGCCACCATGTGTACGACTCAAGTTAAAGAGCTGGAATATTGCAGGACTTACGATGACGGCAACGAACTGGACAGTAGTATTTTTAGGGTAGAGAAACTACTCTGTATGGTGGTACAATGGTGAACAAATGTTGGCTCCTTCACACACAGGTATCAATGGATAGATATAGATTGTATAGCTCATGTGAATCCTGAGCTATGGTCTTTGGGTAACAGTATATACTATTGTAGGTTTGTTGAATTAACAAATCCTCCAGTCTTGCATAGACGTATATAGGAAGAAAAATAGGCAACATAAACAAATTCAGTGGATGATCCAGACGTCACAGGTACAAGAGCTCTGTTGATGGGTAAGTTAGAAGAAAAAAACAAACAAACAAACAAACAAACAAAAAAAACAGGTCGGAAAACATTTTTTTTGTAAGTGTCTACAAAACCAAATGATGTTAAGAAATACAACAAAAAAAAAGAGTAAATACATAAACCCTACAGACACACAGCACAGAGTCAGGAAGGATACCCAAAACACCATATTTAAGAGGAACAGGAGTGGCAAAAGTAAGAATATAGGAGAAAGGGGAAGAAAAAGTCCAGATGAAGTCCGTCTTTAACCAAAGCAACTCCACAAGGCTCTATCTCTCAAGCTCGGTATCATAAAAGAGAACGTTTAGACACTTACCATCGGCATCTAAAATCCAGGTTATAAAATGGTTATTTGCTTGGTACTGTATTACCGACGTGACTTGATAAAGACTACCTTCAAAGTGAAAGGCATAGTGCTGCAAATCCCTCCTTGGTAAGCCTTCCACGAAGTGCAGCATGAGTATGGGCGACGCTCTGTGGAAAGGAGGCAGAAGTCAAACCAATTTCATGCCCCGGTCTGTTCAGGGATACAGCACCTCCAGCTGTGTGCCTTAATTAGAAAGGGGACAGTTGCTCTAGGGAGCATGTGACACTAACGCCTTTGAGACGATGGCCAGCAGCTGGGAGCCACTGTGCAACAGGACTGACAAAGATCCTTAAAGAAAACTTGCTGTGCCACAGAACTATGCTGCCAGCACTGAAGAGAGAGGCCCAGTCCTTGAGAATCTCCTCTGCTATCAATCATTTTTCTGTGAAGTGGGAAAAGAGCAGACCTTATACCTAAGATATTCCTAAGATATTCCGACACTGAACTCATCTTAAGAAATTAGAGGACCCATTAAGTTCAAATTTTCACTTAAGAAAAACTATAAAATACACTGGTAGATTTATTATAAACTATGAGATGCTCATAATTTCAAAAATACATTTCACGATTACAGTAACATGTCAAACTAGAAACAAACCTACAGATAGGCCTCAAATAAGTAAGCTCTTGAGGTTTAAGAAATGGTGGTTATCCCTTCTCTAATATTTAAACAGATGTCAAAACTTACTTAGCTTATCAAAATTTATTCAGTTGAAAATGAACTCGACTCAATGTCCAGACGGCAAGATTATTCAGACTGACAGGAAATGATCTGTAAATTACACTGTCAATTTCTTATTAAACAGTAATTAAGTCCTAAAAGTTCTGTAAACTGTTTATATCATCACATTCTTTGTCCTGGTTTTTAAAATTTGACTTAATTTACCAATTCAAAGATGTTACTGTTCATAAAATGTGTCACCAAAGTATACACACTTCCAGCTGTTAGGATGTGACCTATTGGTGTCTCGGTGATCCACAGTAAAACAGGTTCTCACAGCTGGAAAGGCAGGCCTTAGGCCTTTCCATTACTAATAAGATATTTGGCCGGGCAATGGTGGTGCACGCCTTTAATCCCAGCACTTGGGAGGCAGAGGCAGGCAGATTTCTGAGTTCGAGGCCAGCCTGGTCTACCGAGTGAGTTCCAGGACAGTCAGGACTACATAGAGAAACCCTGTTTCAAAAAACCAAAAGATATTTGAATACTAAAGTCTTGTATTTAGCTTTCTGGGCCTCACACATGTGACATCTACTTACCTAAGACCTCATGAGTCTATACTAGAAATCTCAGTTCCTTACGTTCCTGTGAGTGCACATGAACAGTTTAGGGACTACACATAAGCAAGAATAAATCACACACTACATGGAAGCACGCCTGTCAGCTGTCCCTCTTGTTATATAGTCTAAGGCTTCTAAAGCAGTCACTGGTAAATGAGTCAAAGTAAAGAGCCAAGATGAACTCCTCCTGCAGTCCGCGCTGCAGTGATGCTCACAGGAAAGGAGAGTGACCAGACCCCACAAATTCTCAAGTAGCTGCTTATGCAGACCCCTGTGCAGAGGTTGCCCGATACACCTCAGTTCTCCAGGACCTAATGGAAAGGGTCATGCTGGACAATCTTGAAGTTCATTTCAAGGTTTCAGCCCCGTTCAGCCACATGGGCAACTGCTCACAATGCCCTCCTATTCCTGGGCCACACAGGTGCTTAACAGGCTGTGGCGCTGAGCTTTGCCCCTCCCCCAATCTACTCTCCATAATTAGGGAAGTTCTGAAAGACAAATTCCAACTCCTGTGCTTTACACATCCATCGTCTTGATGGCCTCCTCTGCTGGCGTATTTCAACAGGCAGAGTTTGTTTTTAAAACTGCACAAGTTACAAACAGTGACACAATGTGTAGTCCTCCACTCCTCACTGCTCCTGGGTTGCTGGACTCTATCTCCTACAAGGCTCAGTACTTTTCTTTCCCAAACCTCTGCTTGTCCCATTTTTAGCCTCTCAGGAACTGAGCTCTGTTTTGTGTCCAGGTTTCTTCCTAACCCTGACTCCAAGGCTGCTCAGACTTGAGGAGAGCTGGTTTAGGCTTTGCCTCAACCATGGGATACAGAATGGACTCATGGACTTGCAACTAGAGTCAACAAAAGATATGGAGCTAAAACTCACCTGCATCGGGCTAACTCACAGAAAGCTGCTTTTCTCTTGGAAGGATACACCTCAGGACAAGCACTGAGAATGTTCCCACAGCCACCTACAGACTGCAGAACTATCAATGTCTACCCACCAGGGGCAGCTACACCTCACAGTAAGAGCTAGATCATGAACTTGATTTTCATCAAAGCTTCTCTAATAAGTCTTAGACAATATAAATTTAACAATTATAAATTTGTACTAGTTATAATCTGTTTCAGGTAAAAAGAAGGTCTATAAACATTTGTACGTCATAGCTTTCACGGGTCATTTTCAATCTTTCTGATAATAAGAAATAAAAGGCCTAAGTCATACCAGCTGCAAGTCAAATGATTAGAACAGTATCATGAGCTATGATAAAGAAACACATCTTCAGAAAGCCCAACTGTCCCACAGAGGGATACAACTTTCTCTGGAGACAATTCAAGGAGCTGTAAAGCATTTTCTACCAAGCAATAAAGACTTCAATTGAGAAATAGAATCTTGGGTCACATGATTCTAGTCCCAGAATTCGGTAGGCCAAGATGGGTGGATCTTGAGACTAAGGACAGCCTAAGTTACATACACAATTTCAGGCCAGCCTAAGCTATAAAACAAAACCCTGTTTCACCAGCCAGGACTACAAAGAGATCCCCATACCCTGTCTCAAACAAAACCAAATTACCAGAAACAAAAACAAAGCAAACAATAACAACCAGCACTTACTGTTAGTGCCTAACACGACGGTACTCGCTCATTATTTCGGCCCTCAGAGTTTGAGGCCAAGGGACTCTGTTTCAAGGCTAGCCTAGACTACATAATGAGACTCTCTCGAAACACAACAAAAACAACCAGGAAAGCAGAACACTAAAAAGCTGCTAAAACTGAAGTTAAAATATAATAACCTTTTCAAATGCCAGCCTGGACCGTGTATGACCTCCTGAGACTGTGGCAAGCACTGTAGGCTCATTTCAATAACTCAAAGCTGATTCTAGGCAGTTAGTGCCCACATCATCACCCTCAGAGTAGAATTCCTAAACAACTCCCTTAAAGAGAAGTGGTGGAGTTGGATGTAGTAGGCATGACTTACCACTAGATTTTCCCAGTGGGTATGCTTTACACAGGTGGTAATCTGAGACAAGGCCCTGGGGGAGCTCAGAAGATTATGAGATCTTAGAATGATAGATGGTTGAATTACTCATAGCCTTATGATGAATTTTATTTCTTTAGGGTCTCATGATAGCTCTATCATCCACCTATCTAACTATGCTGGCTGGTCTGGAACTCACTATGTAGACCAAACTAGTCTTAAATCACAAGTTCTGCCCACCTCTGCTTCCTAGGTACTGGGATAAAGGCATGCTCCACCACATCCAACTGACACATTTTCTCTTACATTATCCCTAAAAGCTATACTAAATTTGTTTTTAAGTTCTACTAAATACCAACAAGTCAAGTTGTTTTAATTTCATAGTAAAAACTGTAAGAGTTTTATACAAATACTTTGTCATTTAAATTTTAAGTATAATTTTACATAAATTCAATTTATTTTTGATGAAAATAGGAAATATCCAAATTATAAAATTGGCTTATTAACAAGTCCACTGAAATTTAAAACACATTTTAAATTAAAAACAGTTGTATCTAATGGAAACACTTGCTGTTCAGAACATGAATCTTTTATGTAAGCAAAAGCAACTACTCTATATAATTAAAAAGTTTATGTTGCAATGCTGTCAATTAGCAGATCAAACAACATCATAAAATCTAGCGGATCTTCAACCCCTCAACCTTGAGAGAAAGCGAGCTGTCAGCTGTGTTTATAAACACCAAGATGCTCAGGCAATCGCAGAGGTGTGTGCAGGACAACAGCCAGCCTTGTAGCTGCCTTTTCCTGTCTCTGTTTCCTTTTCTCAGAAGAGAAGCCCTGACACTCAGATCTCAAACCCTCGGCCCAGGCAGCCAAGCACACTAGACTTGTGGATAAGGCGGCACTTCACTCACACACTGAGAGGCAGGAGGCAGGGAAGGGCAAAACAAGTTAACAGCTGACAAGGACTCAGATGGGAACAAGCCTGAAAGCAGTAAGGTACAGAAGACAGATGGGAGAGAGGCTTTACCCAGCACGGCAGAGCGGAGGACAGTGACTTGAGTGCCACACGGCAGGCAGGCATACTCTGTGGAGAGCTCTCTGTCCACAGCCTCCAAGAATCAGTTTTTACATGCAACAGATGCAGTAATTGTGGGGATGAGGACAGGACCAGACGATGAGATCGTGTCTAGAGAACACGTCTAGGAAGCAGGCCCAGAGAGAAGCTACAGAAAGAAAACTGGAGGGAAGGATGGAGGTCAGCAGCAAAGTTTCTAGTTCAAAGAGCCCAGTGTGGGGTGGATCCACAGACCTGAAGCATTTGCATGTTAGGAGGATTAAACATTTAAACCATTGAGCGAACAAAGCAAATGGAAAGCAAAACCTTCTGTTACTGTGCACACTATCTAACCAGAGGGAAACAACAAGGGGAGATCAACACTGAGTTCTCGGTTAGACTCATAGTGCAAGAACATAAAAGCAGCTGATCCGACGGGGCCAGGTACATAGTCAGCGGTGGCCCCAGTCCTATAGCATACAGACAGACAGTGAACCATCGCTTGCCAAATAGACAGAGGGATGGCAACTCTGAGCCTGCCCTAGGCTAGCAGCAAGAAGCTTAGAATGAAGACAGCAGCAGGAAGCTTGTAAGACAATGAAGTATTAACAAGCTACTATCTGGGAGAGGACAGACATTAAGACATAGAGGTGGGACTGGAGAGATACCTCAGCAGTTAAGAGCACTTACTGTTCTGGCTGAGAACCTGGATTCAGTGCCCAGCACCCACATGGCAGCTCACACCTGTCTATAACTCCAGTTCCAGGCTTCCAACACCCTTATACAGACATACATGCAGGTAAAACACAAATATACATAAAATAAAAATACACCAAATGGGGGAGGGAACACTACAAGAGACAGACCAAGCACCCTACTGCAGCCCTACTGTGGTTTTCACCTGGCACAGCTAGCCCACCCTTAAAGTTCTTACAGTGGTAAGCAACTGGTGATCCTAAATATGTGTTCACTAAAACTTCTGAATGGTAAGCTGTGCCCACTATTTCCCTTTCCAAGACATGAGAAACTGTACATGTATCTTCACTGTCTCCTAAAAATGTCTAAGTAAATTTAGACTCACCTTTCCAACACCATTTTTCTTATTTGTGATTTACTGTTGCAACTGTTACATGGGCCGAAATGGGCAGCATTGAGTGGATGCCACTCAGGAACAACATTTGTAAAGGTGACCAGACTCTTCACACACCTAAAAAACAGGCACAATTTGAATCCATCAGCTGTATTCCCTTGAGTTAATGTAACACACTCAACTGTGTACTCATGCTTGTCTCCCAGTGCTCTATTAGTACAGTGAGGGCCTCCCCAGCCATACAGAGACGGGAGACTCTCCACACTGACTGAGAAACACAAAAGGGTGACCAGCAGAGTTTCCCACCATTAATGTTCCAGAGAATGACTTCTGAGGCCCTACTGTGCACACTGGCTATTCAGGGCCACTCCTGGTCTCTACTTAGCACATTGCTGAATCAGTCCCCAGTTGCAGCAGCCAGTGTACTGCCAGCTACCCAGTGAGGAGACATCAGAGGCCCTGGGTGAACCATTGCTACTCTCAGGCTGTCCAACTTATCAGTGTTGTGACGCAAAGTGGCTAAGCATCACTGACAACAAAGAGAGTGCTATTTTCAAATAGATACAAACTTAAACTTTTCATCTGCTAAGAAAAAAAAAATCACTTGGAAAACAAGTCTGCTTTTCACAGGCTGTTCCAGTAAGGAATTCAATTTAGTCTGAATACCTTACAGCACAGTTAAAGACGATCTTCAACAACCTTCAACCAAATATACTAAATCTTAGTTGCATCAACTCTAATAAAAATATTTTAATTAAAGCAAGTATCATATTAGACTCCCCTGCCACCCAACTCTCAGGTGTCGAGTGCTCTGGCCTTTGTACATGGCACAAACAAATTGGGTCTGAATCAGGACCACCAGCCTCCATAGGCCAGGCTTTTTTATCCTCTCCAAAAAACCAAAACAAGACAAAACAAAAAAAAACTACTGAACCCAATAAAAGTCCTTATACTGGCACAAAACCCAGAGGCACTAAAATGAAAGAACTAGTTGAAAAACTTCTGCGAGAGGAGAAAGAAGCCAGTAGTTGTGACCCCAATGTACACTGATTAAAGGTCACCCCATCTTAGCTTTGACTCTGAAATTGCTTTTTAGAATGAAAGATTAAAGAAGTTTCAGGTTTTAAAGAAATAAAGACAAGGTGCAAACCGAAGTGGCTGCCGGCTTCCCCTGGAGTGCTGAGATCCAGGGACCACTGCTAGAGCCCATTTACCTTCTTCTGCACCGAGACCTCTGCTGGAAGATCACAGAGTGCTGAGTCACTGGCCTCACCAGTGAGTTCAGAACTACTTTCCTAAGCAGCTAGTCATCTGAATTGCCACAAGAGAACTCACTCCCAGTGGCTAGGTGACTCCTGGCACACACAACACTCAATGAAAAGCTGTCAGAGCACTAGCCTGTGAACTCTAGAGAAGCTGTAATTAAGCTGACTCTAATCATCACTCCTGTTGATATTATTAAAAACACACGTAGTGATTAGGGAGTTTAGCACAGGGAGCCACAGAGGCAAGGAACAACTAGCGGTCTCCTGATCCTCCTACTGACTATGCGCAGAAAAACCTGCCCCCTGTCCAAATGGATGGAGATCTGGGAGTGGAATTTCAGGTCCTAGTGTGAATCCACACCATTTCTCAGCAGTTTAGAACAGCTCTGTTGCCTCATCCTCTACAGCACTCTCCCAGACTCGGCTCTCTGATCACTTCCTACTGGCCAGATCCCACTGAGAGGATGACTCACTACAGAACACTCCTCATCATTCTACCTGCTAACTGGTGAGGCTTGGTGGTAGGTGAGCTGCAGTGGGAAGACCGATTCCTGCTCTCACACTCGGAGCAATGACGGGCAAGGCAGGCCATCTTTTAACTGCCAGCCAGCAGCTTCCCCAGCCAGCCTCAGCAGAGGGCACATGAGACAAGTCCCCATGCTCTCTGATGGCTCTCCTGAACCAGAGAGCCACCATACAGAGCAGGGACATGATGGAGGTCTAAAACAAATGAACAAAAGCTTATCTCTAACAGGGCAAGCAAAACACTGCCAAGGCCTTCAGAGCAGATGCCCAGGTAAGAAGTTTCCAGAAAGTGAAGGGTGCTATTCTCATCTGTTCCTAACTTCCAACTCCTTTTAGCCATTCTTCAAGCCATGAATTTTTTTTTTTAAGCTAATTTAGAGCAACAAGTTGACTGTAGCCTCTTGTGGTGCAAACTGTTTTTAACCTCACTGGTGAGAAAGTCTAAGATGTGCACATCACTGTGACCCATATTTTCAGAACTCAGAAGGCTGAGGCAAGAAGGTAGCAAATCTGAGGTCAGCCCCAGCTACTCAGCTAGGCCCTCTCTTAGAAAAAAACCAAAATGTGTGTTGGGGTCCAAGAAATGGTGATATATGATACTTCTACCGCTACCATCTGGATCCTGAGGCTTGACCAACCTGTGCTACACAGCAATTCTCCCTGAGCTATATGGCAACCTTGTCTCCAAGGGGGTGGAGTTTAAGCAAGGGTAGAAGTGTTGAGACACAGTATACTGTATGTGCAAAATCTGTTATTTAAAGTACACTGTTGAAAACCGTTACAGCACAAAGAATCCATTAACAAACAAAACTGACCTATTTTGGTACTGGTGTCCACAATGGGAACATTCAAAATTCCAAGAAAAAGAATATGTAAAGAGGTTTTCAACATGGGGTTCAAGCTTTAACAGTACAGGGAGTGCAAACACAGGACTTTCCATGTCACCTGCATAAGAGAAAAGCGACAATTAGCATCAGAACCCAAAAGGACAAAAGGAACCCATATGGCCCACAGTCGCCTATGTGTGAACACAGCCCAGCAGAGTCAAGTGAGTCAGGGTGGACCTGTAGGACGGCTGACTGCATATGCAAACACACCAGCATGAACTCAGTTCCCATGCTCGTCTCTTATTTCTGCCATATTCTGAAAACATAAGGCAAGAACTCCATGTGGAGACCCATACTGTCCTCCGCAGGAGAAAGTTCTCAGAACTCTTAACACTGTTAAATTACAACCAAAACCATGGAAAGGGTTTGCTACAAATACAATAAAAATGTTAGTGAAAATATTAGAGAATCACGTCACAATTGGTCATAAGCATTAAAACACCACTTCTGTGTAGACCCATCAACTCTACAGAGGAACAGGTTTGATATACAAGAGTAAAGGATCAATCCTGAACCTCCCCATTCATCTCAACTGTTAGTCCATCCTTGAATTAAATTGCTGCCACTTTAAAAGTAGAGATGGTAGACATTTTGCTGTCCTTAAAGATGGAACCATGTATGGTGCCTTTCAAGAAGGCTGTTTAATAGACGAGCACATCCCGACAGCCCTACTTTATCTAGTTCCTTTCCTTCTAATCTTCAAGGGAGCTTACAAGCCCAGGAGACAGTGTGTCCCACTTCCTCCTTAGACCTCATTCTCAGGGTACTGTTCTTCCTATCCTGGAACTGTATATACAGTTGTCTAGAACATGGCCAGCAACTGTTGTGATAGCAGGACCAGAAAATAGATAGCAGGTTTTGTTACCTAAGCTGCAAACATCTGTAATTACAAAGGCTATTTTAATAGTTCTTTGTGATATACTCCCATATGTATAGTGTTACTTTGGGGGGGGGGTCCTAAGTAGCCCTGGCTGTCCTGGAACTCACTATGGAGACCAGGCTGGCCTTGAAATCACAAAGATCCACCTTCCTCTGTTTCCCAAATTCTAGGATTAAGGATGTGCACCACCACATCCAGCCACTGCTATTTCTATATACAAATGTAAGTCAGAACAATGTCTTTCTTACAAAGAAAGATAGAAATCAGTCTCCAGAAATGACAACTGTATGAGCTGTGGACATTTGTGATTAAGTCACTAGACTTTAAATTCCAACTCTGCTGTAACTAAATAGTAACTAAGAAGGCAAACAAGTTATAATTCACAGTAACGGCAGAAAATCTTCAGACCATACACATATAATTTTTATTTTGAGCCAAGGTCTCACTGTATTGCCATGGCTGTCCTGAACTCACTCTGTAGACCAGGCTGGCCTTGAACTTGCAGAGATCCACCTGTATCTGCCTCCCAAGTGCTAGGATTAAAGGCATATGACACTACACTTGGCTTCTAATACATATTTTAAAATGTGGAGAGCTATTGATGTCAATCTCTGTCTTCTAGGTTTACATGCAGCACTTTTTTAAGTCCAGCTACTTCAGGGGCCTAGGCAAAAGATTCTTGAGTTCAAAGAAAAGCCTGGGCAATCAGTAGGACCTCACCTCATAAGAAAACCAAACCAAGGTACAAAATACGAGTTTTCCTTTTCGTAACACTATAAACCTTGGAGAGACCTGGACAGAGACTGGTTCTTGCCTCAGTCTGCTCCCATAAGCCAGATTATCAATTCAGTGGAGAGAGCAAATCCACCCCTGTGCTCCTTTATAAGGGACAAAGAGACCCTGGATGGTAGAACGAAGATATCCTAAAGAGGTACACCCACCCTCCCTTCCTGCTATCAGAACACTGAAACCATGGTTTCCAGAATTGGAACACCTCGGGAATCTTGTGTTAGGGAAAGGCTGAAGCTCTGGTGCCCAACAGACAGAAGCTGGTGTCCCAGGAAGACATTTCACATCATATGACAACTTGCTAGCCCACCCTGCAGGCCAAACTCAAGCCCAAACGAGGATATATGAGAGGGAGGTGGTCCTGCCCTCTAAAAAACTCTAAAACTCATGACAGGACCCTGAGGGTGACCTTGGCCTTAGGGTCACTGGACCACCTTACTTATTTTACTCCTCTTCTGAACGTGGGCCATAATGGACAAACGTCTCTTCTTGGCATCTCACAATTTCCTGTCTAAATGGCTTACTGGGCACCAGTGGCTGAGGCCAGCCTGTCAGGACTCCCAGGACCAGGCTTGGGCCCTAACAATACTGGTAACATGCACATGACGTCCCAACATACCACAATTTAGCCTGTGTTGTATAGGAGATTTGGTTTCAAAGTTCAAAATGTTCACTTGGCTTTGGGAGCTCAAGTGTACACCAGCACACACACACACAGAACAGGTATGGCTAACAGTAACCTAACCAGTGGTAGATTCCTAAGAAAACTACCCAGAGTCCACCCTCCCACCAAAGATCAAATCCCAATCAGCCAGACAATGCATCTCCTTATGCGGTACAGTCAGCAGCACAACCACTTACCTAATGTGCATCTAAGCTTAGGCTGAAGTTTAGCAAAAATTTCATCTCTAACTTTATTCAAACAGGTATCTATGTCTGTAAATATTTCTGATGTCAATTTTTTACAATCTTCACCTTAAAGAAAAAAAAAAGAACATTTCTCATCAGTAATCTTTCCAGAAAAATACTCAGATAGTACTAAGAATCAAAGTTTATTAGTACATTTTGCAGAGACAAAAAGCAAAACACATTTCTTATTCTGCCCCTCCTTTAATATGCCATATACTCTGTTGACACCTGTCACTGGCGGAGCACCATTTGCCCTTACTACCTAGATGAGATTTCAGTTTAAGAATAAAAACAACAGATGTAGTAATATATACATGTTAGAATGATGAGTGTTTGGCATTCCAGTTTGACTTTGGAAACAATCCTATGGCTTCATCATACTTTGCTTCAAGTGTTTTAATCAAAGAACATACATAAAAATGAACATTAGCTAAGACTTGTGTTATTTGTTCCTTAAAAGTATGGGGTCGGGGGTGGAAGAAGGAAGAAAAACATACCATACAGAATAATGAAGCCCACACACAGTTAACAAGATTAGAAAAGCTCTAAGTACCCTGTAAATAGCTAATGTAAACTAAAATTAAAACATAAGAACTCCAACATCAAATCTCGCTCTTCTAAATCAATGAGATGTCACCCTGTCTGCTCAAGGGTCTTATAATTATAAAGAAGACTGATACATGAAAAAAACCTCAGTCTCAAACTCAAAACTGGCACAAATGATCTAACAAAATCATAAATATTTACACCCAAAGGTGGTTAAGGAATCTGAGATATACTCTTTCATGTAATAAAAAGAACAGCCTATTTTTTTATTTTTTATTTTTTTATTTTTGGTTTTTTGAGACAGGGTTTCTCTCTGGAGCCCTGGCTGTCCTGGAACTCACTCTGTAGACCAGGCTGGACTCGAACTCAGAAATCCGCCAGCCTCTGCCTCCCAAGTGCTGGGATTAAAGGCGTGCGCCACCACCACCTGGCCATTTTTTTAATTCTTAAAGATTTATCCATATCCTACATGTTCTTCATTGCATATATGTTCATCACATGTCTGCAGATAAGTGGAGACTAGAGAGGGAGAGTGTTAGATCCCTGGGAATTATGGGAGTGACACATGACTGACAGGCAGAGGAGAGCCAGCGCGTGAGTATTGGGAACTGAACCCTGCAGGAGCAGCCAGTGCTCCACGCTGCTGTGCAGCTCCCCAGCCCTAAGAAGCTATTTTATTATTTCTTTTCAAAAACGCCACTCAGCAAAAACCTTAATATGCACATTCAATACCCCCCTAGGATACTAATCTGCAAGGTATTCAAAAGCTACGTGGCTATGGTCATGATACAAACCCATAATGGCAAACACAACAGGGAAGCAATGCAGGGCGGCTACACAAATGGCCCCAAGCCTCCATTACACGTTAACAAAGAAACACCTATGATGCTCAGCAAAGAAAGCTTGCAACAATGTGAAGTCAAAACAAAACCAAACAAACCTAAGCACAAGCAAAGTCAGGCAAAAACACACAGTAGAGTCTGGAAAAATTTCAAAAAAGGTGAGGAGCCTTGCCTTGGCAGATGCAAGACTTCACCAGCTATAATCTAACTGTGGGTGCAGGGAGAAACCAAGTGATCACACAAAACTGAAAAGGAGCATGGACACACAAGGCTAGTCACAGACAAAAGGCAAAAGTGTCCGAAAATGAAGAAAACATGGATGTGACCTCATGCCACACACAATTACCAATTTCAGTCCCAGGGCCAGCAAGCTGAGCAGAAGCCTCACAGGCTGAGTCCTGAGCTCAGTTCTTAGGATCACAAGAGGAAAGGGGAGACCGACTCCTGTAAGGCGCTCTCCGGCCTTCACATGCATGCACGCACACATGCACACACAAATGTCATTTTAAAAATGTATGAAAAGGATTTTAATGCTAGAAAGCAAACTATGACTTCTCAAAGAACATAGTCAGTGAAGGGCTTTCTAAATGAAGAAAAGGAAAATGTTCTTTAAAAGCCACAAACATTACTAGATTCTAAAAGAAAGATAAATACTTTATTGTAAATCAAGATATCCTTTAAGTAAAAAAGGGTCAGCACAATGGCTCAGAGGGTAAAGGCACTAGCAATCAAACTTTTGACCTGAGTTTGACCCTAGGGTCCCACATGGTGCAGAGAATAGACCCCTGCAAGAGAATAGACAGACAGACAGACAGACACACACACACACACAAATAACTAACAAATTAAATGAATAAATGTAATAAAATATTCTTTTTTGTTTTTGTTTGTTTTTTATTTTTCAAGACAGGGTTTCTCTGTGTAGCCCTGGCTGTCCTGGAACTCACTCTGTAGACCAGGCTGGCCTCGAACTCAGAAATCCGCCTGCCTCCCAAGTGCTGGGATTAAAGGTGTGAGCCACCACCGCCCAGCTGTAATAAAATATTCTTAAAGTAAAAATACCAACTGCAAACAGAGAAGAGCCAGCAGTATGTATCAGACATAAAAGAGCAAGAAGGATATAAGAAAATGCACCCAAATAAAAACATGATAGTCAATAGAACAAACAGGTATTTTACAGAAAGCAGAAGGAAATGAGAAAAAACAATGTATGTTAACAGAGACAACAGATCAATCTCTTCCAATCCTGAGAGACACAAGGCAAGTCTGAAGACCATTTTATACACCGCAAGACTTTCAGTGTGAAACATTCCAGAGACCACATGGATGGGAAGGAATCTTCTACATTGCTGGAACAGTACTAACACTGCCCACTTACAGGCAAGTAAACACACAATTGGCCTTCATACCAGCAGGTTCCAACATCCCATTCCCAACGAACCACAGACTGAAAATACAAGAGAGAAAAACAGCACCTGTACTAAACAAGCAAACCGCCTTATCTTAGGAATAAGTATTCTAGAGATGATTTAAAATTCATGGGATGGGCTTAGCATATGCAAAGTCCTGGGACTGATTTCAGCCTCACAGAGTAGAATAAAGTTGTGTGTGATTTTAACATGGGCAACAGGTGGAAGTAGATCAACCCTCCGTTCATTAAAATATAAAGTATATGGGACAATGTGCTCTGGTATTATACAAGCATTGTGCTGTTCCTCTCAGAGGACCCTGCTATCTGCAGGACGTTCTGGGGCTAAGCTTCCATAGACACTGAGAGAACACTGTACTGATGTGCTTCTACTACTCATTCCTTCATTCACATAAACTTGGGAGATGGGCTGGATACAGACTCCATGTTTCATCAGAGGAGACTTTCTTCTGCTTCTACTGTATGGGTTCTGAGGAACTGATACCAGATCATCAAGCTTGGTGGCAAGCACTTTTACCCACTAAGCCATCTCACTGGCCTGAGAATGTTTTAATTCTTCTTGGGTTTGAAGACTCCTAGGTATCCTATTTTGGAGGAATTAAATAGGTGAATGGTACATGTCTATAATCATAGCATGCCAGAGGCTAAGGCAAGAGGAATGCAATTTCTAGGCTGGCTTGAGCAACATAGAAAAACATTGTCTCAAAATCAAAGCAAAACAAACAGACCATTTGTATAGATATTTGTGTATGTACATATATAGATACACAGATACCAAAATCTAAGGCTGCCCAAGTCATCTGCATATCCCTAGTCATCAAGGGCAGGGTGTTGGGGATGACAAGTGACTCTTTATTTACTACTTCTGTTGAAATTTGGTCTGCTGCTATATATTATATGCTAAATACTGGCCCTGGTTGCCTCAGGGACAAGAGAATCTTTACATACACCAAGTGATGCAAGTGATGTTTTAGATTGCTCCTTAATCTAAAACTATTGGTTGAGCAATAGTTGATGCCAACAGCCTATAGCTGGGCAGAAGAGAGGTAGGTGAGGCTTTCAGTTCACAGGCTTGGGTCTAGGGAGAAGCCTGAGGGAGAGAAAAAAGAAGGGGGAGCGAGAAGACACCATGGGGTAGGTTAGTCATGAAAACGTGGCCATGAGGGCTGGCCAATTGGAGTTAAGAACAACCCAGATGGAACATGGCAGGTTATAACTTGGGGTTACTGATGGATTCTAATAGCTTAGAGAGTAGATACCTGCCCAGCTCTAACTCTTTAAAGCCTTATTATAAATAAAAAGTTGTGTGTCTTTTATCTGGGAACTGAACTCAGGCGGGGCAGACACCCGACTGAGATTAAATATTACAACTTCACTCTAGTTGTTTCACTTTTACAGACTTCAGATGGATTATAGAATCTATCTGCAGGTAATGACTATCATCATCCTGATGAACCAAGAAATACCACTGCCCCTTTGTTCTTCACTAGCAGCTTTGGGGACAGTCATGAGCTAACTGGCACTATCTTTAGGTTCCCTGCCTAGGTCTCCACACACAACAATGACTACCCATTTCTTTTTCCCATAAGCTGTGAGACATAACTTAAGAAGAGTAAGTAGCACAGACCTGTGACTCCATGCAAGTGATGGGTGTGCAGAAGTCTATCTGCTTGCTTGTACATTTCAAACAGCCTCCCAAATACACACTCCTCTCTGGAGCACACCTCCAGCACAGTATTCCTCAACACCTCCAAGTGCACGAGGGCCGAAAGGATACAGTCTAACCAGCAGAGTGCCTGACTGTTTTTCCACTGGACACAGAGAGTCTGGCAAAGCGATAAACATCTGCTCTTAGATGGCATTTCCAGCTCAGATGTGACACTAACTGTAGCAGGATCTTCTGAAGTAGCCACGGCCACACCATCAGCTTCCAAAGTCTCATTCTGCTCCACGGAAGCAGCTGTCCTGACTGGATTCTGGTGAGCACTGTTATCTGGGAAGCTTGTTGAGAAGTCACCACATACTTCTCCATTGTATTTACCATTCACAATTGGTTTACTCTCAGTGACAATGTGACTTCTAGTCTTTTTAGAATTTACTGGAAGAGGTGAATTCTTACAGCTGGTTTCCAATCTTTTTCTTTTTTGAGGCTTATTTGAAGTGTGACAATCTTCCGAATCAGGAGAAATTAAATTAGTAAGTGACTCTGATCCCAAAGGATAAATGCACTAAAAAGGAAAAATAAAATTGTTACAAAAAATAATAAAACAAAAAGCCAACAACCTTGGTAATTCAAATCAGTTCAAGTTTTACTAACTTAGATTCCTGTGTCATGAAAAATTTTCGCATTCATTTCACATAAGAGTATCTCTCAAAACCTATAAACCTAAATTTGAAAGAAGCAGAGGTAACTAACAAAGTGTGCCTATCTCCAAAGAACAGTTTCCCTAGTTAAGTTATACCATCAAATCACGTAAGTCCGGCATAGTAGCACAGGCCTTTAATGCCAACACTTGGGAAGTTGAGTCCTGCGGGTCTCTGAGCATAAGGCCAGCCTGGTCTAGATAGCAAGTTCCAGGACAGCCACAGCTACACAGAAAAAGCTCTGTCTCAAAAACAAGTGGGGAAGGGACTTTAAGTTAAGAGTAGACTAAATTATAAAAGAAAACACTAGCTTTGCTTTAGTAGAAAAAAACACATACTGTTGGGCAGTGGTGACACACCTTTAACCCCAGCACTAGGAGGCAGAGGTAGGCAGATCTCTGAGTTCGAGGCCAGCTTGGTCTAGAATGAGTTCCTGGACAACTAAGGCTACACTGAGAAACCCCATCTTGAAAAACAAACCAAACAAAAAGTAAACAAAGCAATAAACAAGTAAACAGAAACTTTCAACTATGTGAAGAAAGACTACAAGTGCTATTTGGGAGAGAGATGCAACTTACAGCATTAAAAACTGGGAAAGTATTTTTAAGTAAAAATTTTACCAGGTCCTTTCTATGTATCCTATATGCCCTAAGATCTATCTTTATTATCCTTACTTGTATGTATGCATCTCTGAGTGAATGTGGTGTGTGCAGATACCCAGAGGCTAGAAGAGGGTGTCAGATCCCTAGGAGGTGAAAGTCACAGGCAGGCAACTGAGAACTACCTAATGTGGGTGCTAGGATTGAACTCAAGTCCTCTGCGAAAACAGTACTTGCTCTTAACCTCTGAGTCATTGTTCCAGTCCCTATATGCTGCATTTGAAAAAAGTTCAAGGACTTGAATACTAAATGTCTTATTTAAAACATGCCTTCAACACCAGTATGGTAGACTGGTGTCCTCCAGATAACTAAAGAAACACACCTCCCAATAACTTGTCAAAATGGAGTCAAATCAGCCTCATGAAGAACCAAGATTTCCAACTAACTGTCTGCACTGAACTCCTGAGCAGTAGTGAGCACTAATGGTCAGCTCAGCTGTCCAACAAACATTTCTATACACAGCAGAAGGCTTGCCTGGTCAACCCAAAGAATAACAATACTAAAGCCATTATACCTAGGAAGTTAGCATGTTCTCAGGTGATTTACCTCACAGCTACAGGTATGTGGCTTGCACTTAATTCCCTTTCCGTTCACACACCGAACTCATGTGAGCACTTCAATTCTTCAACACACAGATGAGCTCTGCACTGCTGGCTGTACAGTGAGGTCTGTAATAACCTGGTCCTAACCCTCATGCCCTGAGAGTTCCTGACTCCAGCTGAGCCTAGGAATGATAACATGTAACAATCAGAGGCGAGCCAGGAGTATGCCTACAATCCAGCATTTGGAGAATGAAGTGAGACTGTAACTTTATATCAGTTTGAACTATATATGGCCTGTTTCAAAAATAAAAACCCACTATCTCAAAGCACAAGTAAGCAAACCACTGTATATAGAGTTGAATTCCAGAGTACTCCTTATCACTTAAAAAGGGATGCATAGAACACTGAAAGTGTTAAATCCATGTCTAACAGTCAAAGCCTCCCTCCTGAGGCTGGATTTAAATTAAGATCCTGGCTAAAATAATCCAGTTAAGTATGAATGTACTGATCAAGGGTGGGTAGATGCTTTGTCTAGAAAGCTTCCCTCCCCACACTGTAAGTTAATGGGCTCCAAATACACCCAGACGGGATTCTCAACCTGTAGGCCATGACCCCTTTTGGGTTGTCAAACAACACTTTCACAGGGGTCCCCTAAGATCATCAGAAAACACATACATTTACATTATGATCCATAACCATAGCAAAAATTAGTTATGAAATAGCAATGAAAATAAACTTTATGGTTGGGGGTCACCACAACACATAGAACTATATTTAAAAGCTGCAGCATTAGGAAGGCTGAGAACCAGAGTCCTGGATCAACCCAATCCTTCCCTTGGGCATTAGAGCCTACCCTCTGTTCCAGGGATAGCCTTAGCCACTTTCCCCTCCCTAATTGGTAGGATCAGCATATAAACACCCAGGTATTTTTCCCAACTTAAAAAAACTAAATAAAACAAAACCCAACTTCTTCCTTCTTGTGCCACAGTTCTCAAATTCCCACTCACATTAATCACAACCCTTTCCCCTACCTGGGTGGAGCAAGTCCTCACTGTCCTAGAGCTCCTCTTCATTTGACTTTCTGAATAATGCCGTCTCCTTCTTGGTTTTATTCCTACCGAACTCTCTGATTCTTGGAGTCTTCCTGATGTCTCCAACCCTGGTCCTACTTTAACTCACCACTCACATGTATGGTTCGGCTAGCCACAGGTTGTACTCACAACTACCAAACCTTTACCTCCAAGTTCAAAGTCTCCCCAACTAGTTGTTAGACGTAAAGCTCCAAACCACTTACTCTGCCTGTCTCAAGTTTATCTTGGTCTGCCCCTAAATCTTGTTTTCCCCATCCTTCCCAGCTCACTCACCACCAACTCAATTCGTCCAACTGAGGAGGAGGAATTACCCTCGCTCCCACTCCCATGCTGTTTCCCAAACTTTCAGCAAATCCTGTTGGTTTTACCTTCAAAGAACTGTTGGCCCTCGGCACCCACAGCTACGTAGCTGGGCCTATGATGCCATGTCTGTACTGAGCATGCACAGACTTCCTTGTCAAATCCCTAAATAATACAGCACAACATTCCATTTACATTGTAGTAGGTGTTATGAATAATCTAGAAATGCTTTAAACTGATGTGGGAGGACGCAGATGGGCCATATGCAAAACCACAAAAACACTCTGCTGTTTTCTAGAAGGGCCTGAGTGTCTTGTCTGCAGAGAGACTGTGTAAATGGGATCCATCCATAGCCTGTCACCTCAGCTTCTAAACCCTCTCTCTAGAACACTACAGCTGCCTTTCTACAAGACAGGGGGAAACCCAGTTTCTTTGCTTTCTGCACTGCTCTCAGGAACTTGCAACACTTGCAGGCTTATCTCTACACAAGCACTCAGTCCTGTAGACACCAACTACTCGTCATATAATTTAACTGGATACCACAACTTTTATTCTCCTGTAGTAATTGTCATCTCTGAGGCTTACTGTCTCTGCCTGCTAAGGAAGGCCTAGTCCTGGAAGCTTCTAGCCTCCACATAATCTAACCTAGCCCTAGAATGTTATTAGCTTCTGAGACTTACTGCTGAATAGACTCAGCCTTTCAGAAAGCTCAGTTCTTTCTGAACTCTGATTGGCTGATTCAACTGAGCTGTTCTGGCTCAAAACCCTCTTTAAGCTGACTGATTGAATCTGGCTTCTCTCAATTCTTACTGAATTGCTCTGTATGGCCTCAAACTAATTCTAACAACCTTTTCTAATCTTCTGGCTCCTTCTCATTCTCCTGCTCACTTTATCTTTACTGTGTCTAGCTTGTTCTCTTCAATCTGTGTCTATAAAACTCTCCTGGTAACACTGCCTCCTTCTCCCTCTGGGCTGCTCTACTCTCCCTCTCAACTCTGCTGCACTTCTCTCCATGAACTGTACTCTCTTCTTCCTATAATACTTGTCTCTCCCTTAAGTAGCTTCTCTTTCCTTGTGAGAGTTGGGCGTATCCTATTTTGTAAAATTTTTCTCTGATTCATCACTTTTTCTGCCATTCAATTAGCCATCACTTTCCTTGCTTTCTTCTGCAAACTACCTCTACCCTCACTGTTTGGGATTAAAGGTGAGTACTAAGGGTGGATCTGTAGTCCAGCCGAGGGACTAAAGGTGCATGCTAAGAAATGAGCCACACCCTAACTAGACAGAGGTTCAAATAACCTGTAACACACATTTCTGAAATGGATATCAAGTAAGCAAGCATCCCTCTAGAAAAGCTAACTAACAATTCCAGGCACTTGTACCTGATGGAATAGGTACAAACTGTTTCCTACAATCCCCAAGTGTCAAGATATTTCAAAAAAGTCAGAAAAATGTGCTCACTGGTATATTCTAGAAACCATAAGAGCACAGGTAAAGCGATACACAGGGCATGATGTGGGCCAGGGAAGGGAGTGGTGTGACACTTCTGTTCTATCTGGTCACACCAACCTACAAATTCATAGAATACTCCCATTCCCTCAGCGCCTGGTCTGTAGCCCTCCCTGTTTCTGTGGGTCAGTGGCTGAATTTAAGAGTACCAAGTGTCTAACCAGCTGGCCTTTGTGGAGCATCCTGAAGCTACCTAGGAGCACTGCCCTAAGCCACCCCTCGGGAAGTCAGAGGATAAATGACTGGACAGAGCTATCACTGAGGAACCATAGCTGTTAACTATGTCAGGAAAGACCAAGATAGCCAGAGCCCTGCCCATTACTGAGTCTGTCAATCCAGAGGCACAGTGATCATAACAGACAAGAAACTACACCACTCTCCTACCGGACCCTCCAGACTCCTCACCTCAGCCAGACCTACTTACTTACTTCCTTACTTACTATGGACGATTAGACTCTTCCCTCCTGCTCTCCAATCACTGTTCTCCTGTCTGCTATCTCCCTGCCTCTACTCAAGGGCAGTTCAAAGCCCTTCAATATAACAGCACAAACGACCAACCAGCAGCCTCGAGTCTCCCAGAGCCTTAGTCGTGCCTCCCTTCTCCCTATGACCAGAAGATTCCATCCTCTTCCTCTCGGGCCTTTGTCCAAATTTCACTTTCTTAATAAAGTATTCCTCTCATTACTCTATAGAGAATTCCAAATTTGGGGGTAGAGCAATGGCTCAGTGGTTGGACAAGCACTATCTCTTATAGAACACCTGGGCTTGACTCCCAGCACCTACGTAGAAGCTCAGAACTGCCGGGAACTCCAGTTCCAGAGGAATGTGATGCCCTTTTCTGACTTTGGCAGACATGCATGCACACCCACCCTCCCACCACACACACACACCCCTTCTCTCCTTGTTTTTTGTCTTTCCTGTCTGTCTAGATCATAAACTTCTTTGGAATAGTAAATCTATTGTATTTATATCCTAGCACTGAAAGAGAATAGACCCAAGAGTGACATATTTAACTGAAAAAAAAATGCATAAAGAAGTTTATGCTTATAAAATTATTACTATTCCCTGCCTTTCCTGTAATATACCCACCAAAAGTATTGATTACCAACATATGATTTAGTATAGTATTTTCCTAACCTCAAATGACAGAATTCTGAGCAAACTCTACTAAGTCAGTACCTGGAAGTTAGATTCCAAATATGTTGAGTTTATCTGGAATAGTATATCTGAAATTAGAAGCCCACAATCACAACTTTGTGGATCTATGAAAAGCGCTATTTCCAAAACCTATACTCTGTTTTGTTAGCTTAAAAAAGGGAGTATCTATTTTGCAATATAACTATTTTGAGAATTAAACATGCATAAACTGTAAACTATTCATGCATGGGACACTCAATCCTGAGTACCACAAATCAAAAGCCAACATCAAAGCAAAGCCACTTAGGAGCCTCCCCCTGGAAAAGGTGGTGGGGCCCATAGCACTGGGGTGGCCTCACGTTCAGTGTCCTCTAAAGTCACTACTTAATGCCTCTTAGAATCAGGCGGACCTGTGAACCCGACTACAAGCACGTAAAATGATGGCCTTGTCCCAGTTATGTGGATCAGTGGCCAAATGACTAAAGCTTAATGTTATACTCTATAAATATTTTATGGGATGCACATTGGTTGTTTCCATTTTTAGATTTTATTCTATGTCTGAGTGTTTTGCCTGCATATACGGATACACACCCAGGAACTGAGATTATAGACGGTTGTGAGCCACCACGTGAGTGCTGGGAACAGAATCTGGGTCCTCAGCAAGACAATCACTGAGCCACCTCTCCAGCTCTCACTATTTTATTTTTTATTTGACAACATTTTAGGGATGGTAGCTTTATGTTGGCAAGAACTATGTGCAAAGTTCTGTATCTAAGGAGGAATGAAAAAAAAACAAAACTGGACCTGAGAGTGTTAGCTTGGATTTTTGCTGGGATGTAAGTGGTTATTTTTTTTAATGCCAAATTAGTTTGTGTGTCTTTTTAACATCACAAACTTCTTATTGTAAAACAAAATAAAAACAAAACCAAACAGGATTATTTTTAGTGCTAAAATTCTTATGAAGAAGAACCTTTTCAACTTATACAATGTAAACTGAACGTTTGTGAGAGGTCTTATTGTTGCTTTTACTTAGCAGACTGTGGGCACTAAAGATATAAATTATGAAATATAATCCATTCCACACCAGAGTTGTATCAATGGATATAAACTATGACTCATTCTAAATGACAAGCTTCATTTTTTTGAGATAAGATCTATTATATAGCTCAGGCTAGCTTCAAAATTGTGGAAATTCTACTCAGCCTTCCCAACGATGGAATTATGTGCATGCAACACTATGCCTGGCTGTCTTAAAAGCTTTTAATTACATAAGAGTTATATATACTGTTTTTGACAAAATAACTAACTACCAAAACACCTCTCCAGGTAAAAATGAAGATTAATAACTTCTACATGGCCAGGTATACTTTAATCCCAGCACTGAGGAGACAGAGGCAGGCAGATTTCTGTAAGTTGAGGCTAGCCTGGTCTATATAGTGAGTTCTGGGACAGCCAGGGCTACACAGTGAGACCCTGTCCCATTGTGGAAGGAATAACTTACTGTATACTAAAGCTTAACAAGATTAACACCAAAAAGCAGTAACTCATGAGTTGGAAAATAGTATTTAATTAAAATTATTTGCCAGAGAGATTTAGAAACTTATATTGTCATGCATTGAAAGTCTATACTTTGAAAAATACAAAAATCAATAAAATTTAAACAATGAAGAAAAAGCAGAAGGCTGTACCAATACACTAAATAATACTAGTAGTACTTTACCTGAAGATCCTCACACAAAAAGATAGACTCTTGGAAGCTAATTCGGTAAGTTTTTAAGGCATTCAGCTTTCCTTTCGCTCTACAAGCAGGGCAATGCCCGTCTGTTGGAACTTTAGCTGAAGCATAATTCTAAAAGAGAAATAAAGCAAATTAAAAGAGACATTCCTATTATATTAAGCTACAAAAGAGTTAAATGGAAGGGTAACCAGAAAAAAAAATATAAATTTTCCACCAGATTTCTGGCAAAACTAAATAAAAGACATGTACATAAAAGAGCTATTGTCCAAACAATATTAAAATCTGACTTAGGTTCATTTACAAGGAAAAGGAAATAACAACTGCCAAGGAAAATGTATATAGTCTATATTTTCAAATAGCAAAACATAAAATCTAGGCATTAATTTCTACTTTCACATATCAATAACAGAGAGGTAATAATCTTTCGCCATTGCTGTAAGATTTCCGTGGAAGACAGAATTTTTTAGGACTTCATTCATAAAATGAAAATTTAAATTTTATTTAAATTTCAAATATAAGAGAAAAATAACCAGCTTTGCACTGAGGCCAAAAATAAGTTCACTAACTTTTCCCAAGTACCCCAGCATGGGGAGTGAAGATATCCCTATATCAGTCCCTGGTCCAACCAGTGGCAAACCATTTCCAGTCTTCAGAGAATCATCCGTCATTCCGAGTCATTGGCTAATTTATGTCACTTGGAACATGTCAAAATCACTAAGGATTTTTCAATGAACCCTGGAAAAAAAAAGTCAACAGATAATTAAATAAAAATCCTATTTACTCTAAAAAGAGAGTTTGCTATTTTATAGGACAAGAGATATTAAGTATGTTTGTGAGCTATATGTCCTTGGATAAGCATATTCTAAACTGTAGTCTTCAGAATACCTTCATGTATGTAAATATGTGTAAATGTATGAGGAGAGTGACCATAGGATGCAGCTTCCTTTTTTTTTTTTTTTTTAGTTTTTCTGTGTAGTCCTGGCTGTCCTGGAACTCACTCTGTAGACCAGGCTGTCCTGGAACTCAGAAATCCGCCTGCCTCTGCCTCCCAAGTGCTGGGATTAAAGGCGTGCGCCACCACCGCCCGGAAGGATGCAGCTTCCTAACACATGGAAAAGTACACAGAACTTTCCCTACAGGTAGATACTGGTCAGAGCAAGCTAGTGGACTAAGCTGGAGAACCTAAGCTTTCCTTTCTCTGTATGGGCAGTATGAAACAACCATGTTAGCGTTACAATGAGAAAGTACCTAATCTACTGTTCTACCAAAGAAATAAGGGAACCACACATTTTATACAACCTTTCTTCTGTTTTCAACCACAAAACTGTTCACCAGTTGGAAATACTTTACTAGTTTGTAGACCAGGCTGGCCTGAAACTTGCTACGTATGTAGACTAGTCTGACCTTGAACTTTGCCTCCCAAGTGCTGAGATTAAAGGCTCATAACTGGCAGAATACTACATTTAAAATAATCACCCACAAAATACTATGTTTTTTTGTAAATGACCTATATCAGAACAAAAGTATAAGTATTCCTGTAAGCCAAATAAATTTAACATGAATGCCTTGAGTGTATTTCCACAGAGCAGACCACATTCCCAAGATCAGAGAGCAAAGAAACTTGAGACACAGCTCAATACAAAGAAAAAATATGGACTTAAAATACAACAAAAGCAAACCTAAAAGATGTTTTAGGCAAAGGTAAATTATTATCATTTAGCTAAGGAATTGAAACTTCAAGCATAAATCTTTCCAAAACCTATGGGTCCATAATTCTAGAACAACCACAATTCTGGCTCACAGATTCACTTTTAAAAACTTGTTATGTAGCCAGGCAGTGGTGGTGCATGCCTTTAGTCCCAGCACTTGGGAGGCAGAGGCAGGAGGATTTCTGAGTTTGAGGCCAGCCTGGTCTACAGAGGTCCAGGACAAAACAACCCTTGTTATATACTGAGTGATTATGGCACATGCCTTTATTTCCAGGCA